AAGACTACTCATGGTGAGACAAGAACTCTCTGCTCAGGTGGTCCACAATCACATTCCAGGCTCTGGGGAGATGCTGTGTAAAACACAGAAGTCCCAGAGACAAAGTGCTTCCTTGCAGAGCGACAGGGAGTGGGCTCCTCCCTGTTAGTAATTTAGAATATGGTAGCCATAGTGTCCATAAGAACCCAAAACACACTGTCTCACAGGTGAGGTAAGAACACTTTACAAATGCTTCAAACCACCCTACGCTCCCTGATGTTTATGTGCAGGATCCTCTCCTCCAACATCCATTGTCCTTGTTTCCAGAGCAGTCCAAAAGTAAGCACCCCATACCTGGTCTGAGGCATCAGACACCAGCTCCCTTGAGTGTGGAGGCTGTCGAAAGGGAACACCAGACATGAGATTGTCCCACTTGATGGACCATTTCAGGGTCTCTAGGATGTGTGCCGGTACCATGCCCATCCAATCAAGTGAGTATCAGGCTGTGGAGCACACTGACACTAGCCATAGGAAGCCTGGCAAGACACACTACATCAGTGCATGCCACCATGTGACTGAAGCAAACCTGTGCAGTTGTCAGAGTGTGAAGGATGGTTGCTGAATCAGGGCCAGTAAAGTATCAACCAGGAGACTGAGCTGGCGGCATGTGCTGAGGAGAAGGGAGCTGTTCTGCTGAATCTTGATTCTAGTACAATCTTTGGTCAGCCAGTCATCTAGGTAGGGACAGATCTGAACCCCTCAACGCTTCAGGGAGATGGGGTGGGCGTACACTGATGTATACTTTGTGAATACTCTGGGAGATGTAGTTAGGCCAAAGGGAAGTACTGCAAACTGGTAATGATTCTGACCTACTTTGAACTGCAAAAATTGCCTGTGTCCCTTGAGGATCGTGCTGTGAAAATACATGTCTAAACTGGAAATAACTGATACCAGGGAGACCATGCAAAACTTGAGAGAATGATTCAAGCTTTGCAAGTCCAGAATGGGCCTGAGACCATGGGGATTAAAAAAATATCAGGAGTGAAAACTCGGTTCTGGAACCAGATAGGTACCCTTTCCACTGCTTCCACTTGGAGCCACTCCACAACCTCCTGCTTGAGAAAATGCTTGTAAGAAGAGACTCTGAAGCAGGAGAGAAAGTGTAGGTGGGGAGGGGAAGCGGGAGGTTGGAGGACAACTGGAGCATGTAGTCATGCTATGGTGGCGAGAACCCAACAGTCTGTGGTGATATCTCTCCAGGCTGACAGGAAGAGATGGAGGTGAGAAGCAAATAAACGAGGAGGATCCTGTGTGGCCTGGGGGCAAAAAGACCTGCAAATGAGACACCTATCTGAGATTTGGGTTTCTCTCAGATAACAGAGGCAGTCAGCATGTGGGTCACTGACTGGCATAGGCCTGCAGCACAGGCTTTAAAGCCAGGGGAGTGGAGTATGTCCTGTCTCTAGGCTAAGTCCCTACAGGGGAACTAATAAAGTGCTAGTTTAACTATTAACATTTATCTAAACTAGAGAAAAACTATTTACAACTGAATGAACAGATTAACTAGCTTCAGCTGAGGCTGGAGCACACTGTTCCAAGCACTGTCGCTGGTAGCAAGAAGGAACTGAGGAGGGGCGAGCCTGGAAGATGCCCTATATAGTATGGCACGTGCATGCCACTCTCGGGGACACTGGACCCAGTCCCCTATGGGTACTGCTGAGGGAAAATCTTCCAATACCGGTGCATGTGGCAAGCACAAACATCTATGCTGAACAGACATGAGCAAGTACTCAAAGAAACAAATATATCATTCCTTCTAAGACCATTGTAAGACTGAAGCTAAGGGTCTCTAGACTACAGGGTTTTTTTTTTTTTTAAGTGGCCTTTTTTCGAAAAAACTTCCCTTGCATCTAGACTGCTGCTGTGTTCTTTAAAAAGTAAATCGAAAGAACGCGGCAGTCTTTTTGACTGCGGAAAGCCTTGTTTTACATGGAAGAACACCTTTTTTCAAAAGTGCTCTTTCGAAAAAAGGCGCTATCTAATGCAAACTGTGCTTTTTCGAAAAAGAGCATCCAGACTTGCTTTTTTGAAAGTACTGGTTGTAGTATAGATGCTCTTTTTCGAAAGGGGCTTTTTCGAAAGTATCTTTTGAAAAAGTCTCTTTCGAAAGACTTGCAGGTCTAGACGTAGCCTAAAAGAGCAGCAAATATGTTATGGAAATCATTTCCTGTTAAAATAGTTCTATTTGTTTTATTCTCTATTCTTCTGTTCTGCAGTCCAATTACTTGAGGATGTTCAATTTTACGTGATTATGTATTTGTTCTTTAGTTTGTCTGCTTCTGCTACTTCTTATTTTTCCACCTTTGTAATATGATAATTTGCTGCTGAAAGAATGATTTCAGTTGTCAATATCAGAAAAAAGGATTGTGATGAAACGAAGATCGAGCAGGGGCACTCTTGAAAACCTATTTGACCAATTCTGCAAAGGATTTGCAAGTGAGAACCTCATTCTCATGCTGAATACATGGAATTTAATGAACTAACAAGTTAGTAAGGGTCCAACTTGTAGTCCTTTTACAAGATTACAACCATAGAGATTCCACTACATGCACAAGAACAAAAACAGAACTCATGCCCAAGAAATTTAAAAACTTCTGCTCCATCAGCTACATTTTAAAACTAGACTAAGATTTTACAAAACATGATTAGGAAAAAACAAACAACCTGTCTAAGGCAACCAACATAGGGATTTAACAATAGTTATAAACCATCTTGTGCGCTATCAGAATTAATGGATAACCTGCAGTAGTGTTGGCCAATTCTGACAGTACATGATCCAGAAAAAAATCTTGTAGATCGCAGGCTGAGCTAGCAGAGTTGTTCATACATAAGAACATAAGAACAAAAGTTCAAAAACTTCTTAATTTATAAACTGAGCACGTCTGACATTGAGTCACTGAAAAATCTTGGAATTGTTTTTCAGAACATGATCATGTAGTATGGAGAAGGGCAAAGATTTAAACTTCTTGGAGATGTTCCCTTCTCCTACAAAACACACGGACCCCTTTCTACCTTGCCAGAGAAATTCTTTAGACCTTGACAATGACAAGCAGAGCTGAAATTTTAACAAAGTATGGGGTTAGAATTATATATATTAAAAATATTTGCAATGCTCCAGTTTTTGTCAAAGACCCAGATCACTGATAAATGTCAAGTGCTGAGAAACTTTATGTGTCGATCACTTTTACAAATTAAATGTTATATCTGTGACTGCAACCATGATTGAGGGGCTAGTATTTCTTGGACGGATTTCTGTCTAGGAGCTGGCACTGGTTTGGTTTCTGACTTGGACTCAGTAACTGAAGAAACAGGATTTTCATAGTCCATTGAGCTGTTTTGCGTGCAAGGAACCGGTTTGCAAGGAGAAGCAATTGGCTTCTTCAACTGATACATCATGGAAGATACCTTGTAATCAAAAGAAGAAATATTATGTGCAATGGCAGGCTTCTTCCACAAGTTTTCCTTGTCCAATTGGTCTGTGCTCATCTGCTCTTTTGAGCTGTATGGTGACTTATCAGATGGTGGAAGTGGAGCTCTTCTTTTCTTTACTTTGCCATCATTAGGACTTACTACCTCACTACTTGCATCTGGAAACACAATATTTTTTTGGACATGCATCTGGTGAGAACCATCAAATAATGGGGCCCATACAGAAGGTCCAGACTCTTTCTGCTGGCCAATCAGGAACTCTCCATCAGTCTCCTCAATTTTTCTTTGAATTATATCTGTTAAACCTTCATGTTTCACTGGAGAATCAATACCTACAATTTTAGAAGACATTAGACAGACTGATTAAAATGGATCCTAAGAATTTCACTCACTCTGAGAGTGGTTATAAATTATCTGAATGCAAAACTGTGAAAAGCATGACCACCCAAATCTTAGACTAGCACAAAGACCTACAAATGGAAAAATTCCAGAAAAGGAAAAAGTATAGAAATGGAAAAGATTATGTTTACAGAAAGAGGCCTACAAGATTTCTATGGTTTTAAGGACTTAATAGGCTGTCATCATAGTGCTCAAAAGTCAAAACTGTTAAATATTCTTGCTCTTATTCTCCCCACCTCACTTGCAAAGGACACTTTTACAGTTGGAGGTTTTTTCTTTAATAAGTTCTTGAAACTAGTGTCCTCTCCCCCCCCCAATGTGGAGCATCTGGTATTGGCCACTGTCGACAGAAAGGATTCTGGGCTAGATGGTCCTTTAGTCTGACCCACTATGGCCATTCTTATGTTTTTAATGTAATTTACAATGCAATGGCCAGAATATATACAAATTTTTTATTTCCCTGTATGTATATCTGTATCACGTGGGCTCTCTCTGACTCTAGAACAGCAGCAAGAATATAAAGATATCACAATGTGACATTGCAGATCATATTTTTCATAGTAGTATTATCATATGATCATGACAATTATAATGCATTTTGTACAAGGGGCCATGTATGGTGTAACTGGAAAAGTTATGATTTTCTGAATATGATTACCCTATTCATATGCATGTATCCTTTTTGTTTCTGAAGTTATGACTATTGATTATGTAGCTGTATTTCACAGGTAGTCACACCTGGGTGACACCTACTAGGCAAAATGCTTCCAATTGAAACACCTAATTGTGAAGGGCCCTTTCAAGGTAATGGACCATTAGGAAGAACAACAGGCCTTAGGAGAACCTTATTCTCCACCTGATGAGCTTTCCTGTGAATGTTTCTGCTAACTTATAAGTAATGGCTACTATGAGGGCAAGTGACCAGCTCACACGAGTTTGAAGTCAATTTTGGGGGCCTTTATTTTTCCACAAACTGGGCTGGGGAACTTTTTTTTTTTTAAACAAAGTGTTCCTGCCATATGCTAAAGCTAAATAAGGCAGAGTGTGACATCACCTGTTCTTCATTCTCCCACAACTCAAAATCTGAAAGAAGCTCCAAAAGAAAAGGATTTGGAATAGAAGCAGGCATCCCAAACTGCAAAGCAAATGTAACTTGTCCCTTAAGAATCTACAAGCCTGCTTGTATTATGAGCCATGGTGAAAATTTGTTAATTGATATCGTGTCTTTGGCTTAGTTTGTGGTTCTGTTTATTTGCCAGATAATCTACTTTGATCTATTTGCTATCCCTTATAATCACTTAAAATTGATTACTCTGTAGTTAATAAACTTGTTTATATTTTAACCTAACCCGGTGTACCTTTAAGTAGAGAAATAATATCTCAGCTTGGCTATCACACTGATTTTTTTATCCACACTGCAGGAGAGGCAGACATATTAACAACCTTATACTGTACAGGCAGTCCCCGGGTTACGTACAAGATAGGGACTGTAGGTTTGTTCTTAAGTTGAATTTGTATGTAAGTCGGAATTGGTACATATTGTAGGGGAAACTCTGGCCAAACATTTCTCCAGAGCTCAGATTTATTCTCCCACACCTCACTTCCCTCAGTCCTTTATTCTCCAGCTGATGTGTCTGCTGAGAAAAGCCGCTCTGCGTCTCCCTGGTCTGCTGGGGAGGGGCGCTAGCTTCGCGTCTCCCTGGTCTGCTGGGGGGGAAGCAGCTAGTGCGGGGTTGCCTCACCCTGTTTGTAAGTAGGGATCCGATGTAAGTCGGATCCATGTAACCCTGGGACTGCCTGTACAGATCCCTGTGCAGTGTAAGGCAAAGTAATTTTAGGTTTATGCTCCAGAAGGGGAGTGCATGGATGGGAAGCTGGACAACTGGCTGGGGTCTGCTGTTTATACTTGGGTAGCTCAGTTTGGATGTATGGTACCACCTGCTGTCATGTTGGGTGGTAATTAGGAAGGTTAAAAAGCGGTAATTAGGTAACTGTGTAACCACTGAAAATCTCAATGGTCACACACTACAGACTCTGTAGTATAAAGCATTATAAAACTCAATGACCCACATAGTTACAGAGAAGTAGCCATGTTAGTCTGATAAGTTTAAATGTTTGTCTGCTGCTTGATTTCATGTCTGAATTGCAAAAATGCTCAAATTAAGATGTGGATCATTGATAAAAAAAGCAGTCGTGTAGCACTTTAAAGACTAACAAGATAGTTTATTAGGTGATGAGCTTTCGTGAGGCAGACCCGCTTCTTCATCACCTAATAAACTATCTTGTTAGTCTTTAAAGTGCTACACGACTGCTTTTTTTGTTTTATCATTGATCCACATCTTAATTTGAGCATTTTTGCAATTCAGACAGGAAATCAAGCAGCAGGCAAACATTTAAACTTGTTATCCATATAAAATGTTTTTAAGCCAATATCACATCATATCCATTAAATCATTAAATAAAGTAACCTACTTGTAGTGTATAAAATATATTTCCATAAACATTATATACTCCTCTGCACTGTAGTTCACTATGCAATAACTGATTTCTGAACATTGGTACAGCTCAAACACATTTTAGAGAGTTTTTTTTTTTACAGTTATTGCCAGTGACCACACACTAAGTTCTAAGTAGATTGTATGTAGTTTGGAAAAAAGACAGGTAATTGAATGCAACTAGTTAAAGGCATTATTTGTCTGTAGTCTGTATTATTTAAAACCATTACCTTTTTATCCTCTGGATTTTGAATGATTTCTCTGGTGAATCTTTATTTCTAGTGATAGCTTTTTTGTTTCAATGTTTTCAAGGCTTCTTATATACAGCTCACATTGAACTTATTTTAAATTCGAAGTATGAAAGTGTGTTCACTTAGTACTAATATTAAGAAATACATTTAATATGAAAAAGCGACGAGGAGTCCTGTGGCACCTTATAGACTAACTGAAGTGTAGGAGCATAAGCTTTCGTGGGCAAAGACCCACTTCGTCAGATGCATGTAGTGGAAATTTCCAGAGGCAGGAATAAATATGCAGGCCAGGATCAGGCTGGAGATGACCAGGTGGATCCAATCAAGGAGGATGAGGCCCACTTCTAGCAGCTGATCTGGAGGTGTGAATTCCAAGAGAATAGAAGCTGCTTTTGTAGTTAGCAAGCCATTCACAGTCTTTGTTTAATCCAGAGTTGATTGTGTCAAACTTAAAGATGAACTGTAGCTCAGCAGTTTCTCTTTGAAGTCTGGTCCTGAAGTTTTTTTGCTGCAGGATGGCTACTTTTAGATCTGCAATTGTGTGTCCAGGAAGATTGAAGTGTTCCCCTACAGGTTTTTGTATGTTGCCATTCCTAATATCAGATTTGTGTCCATTGATTCTTTTACGTAGGGACTGTCCTGTTTGGCCGATGTATATAGCAGTGGGGCATTGTTGGCACATGATGGCATATATTATGTTGGTGGATGTGCAGGAGAATGTACCAGTGACAGTATGGCTGATCTGGTTAGGTCCTGTGATGGTGTTGCTGGTGTATATATGTGCAAGTTTCTTCTCTGCCCACAAGTACAAACAGATATCATCTTTCTCTCCAAATGCAAACGGATGGACATTATACCAAATGGACTGAAGGTGAAAAATCCATTGCTATCTACATACTGCACAGACTACAGTGAGAGATTATGCCATATACTATCCAAAAAACTGAGGAACCACCTGATCAGCATCCTGTACAGCAAACAGGAAAACATCAAAAAAGAGCTCTCCAATCTGGAGTCTCTCATAAAACACCAACCTTCTGCACAAATGGACTTTACTAAAACAAGACAGGAGATCTACATTACACACTTCACTTCTCTACAGAGGAAAAAGGACTGTAAGCTGTCAAAAACCCCCCCTGCCACATGGGGCCACAACAATGGTACCCCTAACTCACCCAGCAATATCGTCAATCTCTCCAACTACACACTCAGCTCGGCAGAAGAATCTGTTCTATCTCGGGGACTCTCTTTTTGCCCCGCCACCCCCACTAACATGATACAGTTCTGCGGTGATCTGGAAGCCTACTTTCGCCGTCTCCGTCTCAAGGAATACTTCCAACACGACACTGAACAGTGCACTGACACACAGATACCTTCCCACCAACAGCACAAGAAGAAGAACTCCACATGGACTCCTCCTGAGGGCCGAAATGGCAGTCTGGACCTCTACATAGAATGCTTCCGCCGACGTGCACAGGCAGAAATTGTGGAAAAACAGCATCGCTTGCCTGGTAACCTCAGTCGTGCAGAACGCAATGCCATCCACAGCCTCCGGAACAACTCTGACATTATAATCAAAGAGGCTGACAAAGGAGGTGCTGTTGTCATCATGAACAGGCCTGACTACCTAAAGGAGGCTGCCAGACAACTCTCCAATACCAAATTCTACAGGCCACTTTCCTCAGATCCCACTAAGGAATATACTAAGAAACTGCACCATCTGCTCAGGACACTCCCCAAACAAACACAGGAACAAATCGACACACCTTTAGAGCCCCGACCAGGGTTGTTCTATCTATTACCCAAGATCCACAAACCTGGAAATCCCGGACGCCCCATCATCTCGGGCATTGGCACTCTTACTGAAGGACTGTCTGGCTATGTGGACTCTCTGCTCAGACCCTACGCCACCAGCACTCCCAGTTACCTTCGTGACACTACGGATTTCCTGAGAAAACTACAATGCATAGGTGATCTTCCAGAAAACACCATCCTAGCCACCATGGATGTAGAGGCTCTCTACACAAACATCCCACATGCAGATGGAGTACAAGCTGTCAGGAACAGTATTCCTGATGATGCCACAGCACAACTGGTGGCTGAACTCTGTGAATTTATCCTCACACACAACTATTTCAGATTTGGTGACAACATATACCTCCAGACCAGTGGCACTGCTATGGGCACCCGCATGGCCCCACAATACGCCAACATTTTTATGGCTGACCTGGAACAACGCTTCCTCAGCTCTCGTCCACTTACACCCCTTCTCTACCTACGCTACATCGATGACATCTTCATCATCTGGACCCATGGGAAGGAGACTCTGGAAGAATTTCACCATGATTTCAACAGCTTCCACCCCACCATCAACCTCAGCATGGACCAATCTACACGGGAGGTCCATTTCCTGGACACCACGATACAAATAAGTGACGGTCATATCAATACCACCCTATACAGAAAACCTACCGACCGCTATACTTACCTGCATGCCTCCAGTTTCCATCCCGGACACACCACACGATCCATTGTTTACAGCCAAGCACTGAGGTACAACCGCATATGCTCCAACCCCTCAGACAGAGACCTACACCTACAAGACCTTCAACAAGCATTCTGTAAACTGCGATACCCACACGAGGAAGTGAGGAGACAGATTGACAGAGCCAGACGTGTACCCAGAAGCCTCCTGCTACGGGACAAGCCCAAGAAAGAAACCAACAGAACACCACTGGCCATCACCTACAGTCCCCAGCTAAAACCTCTCCAACGCATCATTAGTGATCTTCAGCCCATCCTGGACAATGACCCCTCGCTCTCACAGGCCTTGGGAGGTAGGCCGGTCCTTGCCCACAGACAACCCGCCAACCTGAAGCATATTCTCACCAGCAACTACACACCGCACCATAATAACTCGAACTCAGGAACCAATCCTTGCAACAAACCTCGGTGCCAACTCTGCCCACATATATACACCAGCAACACCATCACAGGACCTAACCAGACCAGCCATACTGTCACTGGTACATTCTCCTGCACATCCACCAACGTAATATATGCCATCATGTGCCAACAATGCCCCACTGCTATATACATCGGCCAAACAGGACAGTCCCTACGTAAAAGAATCAATGGACACAAATCTGATATTAGGAATGGCAACATACAAAAACCTGTAGGGGAACACTTCAATCTTCCTGGACACACAATTGCAGATCTAAAAGTAGCCATCCTGCAGCAAAAAAACTTCAGGACCAGACTTCAAAGAGAAACTGCTGAGCTACAGTTCATCTTTAAGTTTGACACAATCAACTCTGGATTAAACAAAGACTGTGAATGGCTTGCTAACTACAAAAGCAGCTTCTATTCTCTTGGAATTCACACCTCCAGATCAGCTGCTAGAAGTGGGCCTCATCCTCCTTGATTGGATCCACCTGGTCATCTCCAGCCTGATCCTGGCCTGCATATTTATTCCTGCCTCTGGAAATTTCCACTACATGCATCTGACGAAGTGGGTCTTTGCCCACGAAAGCTTATGCTCCTACACTTCAGTTAGTCTATAAGGTGCCACAGGACTCCTCGTCGCTTTTGCAGATTCAGACTAACACGGCTACCCCTCTGATATTTAATATGAACTACTTGGTATGCAGTTATGTTGCTCCATTATATTACCTGAACTGCCCTTGAAAAATTCAGCATTATAACTTCAAACAGAAGAAGCTATTTGAATACAGACAACATTGTTTTGTTACCCTGCAGCTTGAAAAGACAAATCCCACTTACTCATATCATGGTAGACTGAGGTTGCCTCTTTTGTCAGAAACAAAGGTGGTTTCCGTGGTGACATAATCTCAATTTTCATGAATTCTTCACAACAGTGTTTCCACTGGCCTGAGAGGGAATAGGTAACAATGATTAGAACTTAAAACACTCCATGTTTTAAAGAATTTGAAATCATTAGGTTGCATTTGCGAACTACTTACCATACAAATTCAGATACTATTCATATCTGTAAGTATGCATTCTAATGTTGCAACTGAAGTTTCATCCGAACCCTTGACACAAAGATTATAAGCAGATATTAAACTAAGAGCTTCAATTTAGCCAACCCAGCTGTACTATCTGCCTGACTCTGTTTCCTTCATAATCTGGTGAAGAATATAATTTTCAGATACCAGCTTTTTTTTTTTTTTAAACTTAGTCCATCAACAGATACTCTTTATCTATTTATGCATTTAACTTGCACTTAATTGCCATAAAACTAACCAAACCTCTGCAAATTGCATACTGCTAATATTTGGAGGTAAACGCAAGAGACTAAAATGGCAAGTGAGATTGGATTGTCCTACACCAGAGAGTAAATCTTTTGTTTAGATTAAGAACAGTGAAGTCACACACTTCCTCTAGAAATCTAAAAGTGAACACACTGAAACATTTTATCACTGGAAATTAAAGATTAAGGAACAAGGCACCACTTACTCATTTTTCTCCTGAGTAGTAAAGCCCCATCTACTATATTTATCTGTCCTAAGCAAACAGTCACGTTCAAGATAGGGCTGGGAAATACCAGGTATAAAACCTTATGGCCAGGAGGAACCACTTCAGTCCAAATATCCCCAATTGCTTAGTTCTATAAGACTGACAACTCATTCACCCAGAGTGCTATCCAAGCAAAAGCTGAATACTCAAGGGTGCAATAATTCTACAGAGTGCCTTTTCTAGCTGCAATAGTTAATCTAATTTTGAGTCAAACCAAGTTTTCAATAAATTTCAAAAGTCTCAGCATCCCCAGGTTTCCTCTTACGCTTCATCCCCAAAGGTTTCTATTTTTCTCCAATGATGTCAGGATTCTACAAAGTAGCTAACTATACATTACTACCACAGAAGAGGAAAGGATGGTGAGACTCCAGCAAGCCTTTGAATGATAACCTACTTAAACTGCTAAACAGATCACTGTCTTCTGAAACCACACACACAGAGAAGTCTACGTCTATTTTGATTTCCTGAGAAAAATTAAACCAGATATTTCCAAGATTATTGGAATTTACAGGAGGAATTACAAATTACGGACCCCTGAGGAGATGACTATGGTTCAGTAAAATATCTCTATTTTTCAGTGGGAGAGAACATTTTACAAAC